CTTACTTTACCAGCAAAGCTATCATTCAGAATTGAAGGTCAGATAAAGAGCTTCACAGATAAGAAAAAGCTAAAGGAGTTCATCACCACCAAACCAGTATTATATGAAATGCTGAAAGGTGTCCTTTAAGAAGAGGAAGAAGAACAAAAAGGTAAAGATACAAATTATGAACAACAAATATGCATCTATCAACAAGTGATTCTAACAATCAAGTGAATAAATAATCTGATGAAAAGAATGAACTGGTGATTATAATAGAATCAGGGACACAGAAAGGGAATGGACTGACTATTCTTGGGAGGGAAAGGGGTGTGGAGGATGCAGGAAGAGACTGGACAAAAATCGTGCACCTATGGATGAAGACAGTGGGGGCGGGGAGTAAGGCAGGGGATGGGGTGGGAACCGGGTGGAGGGGAGCTATGGGGGGGAAAAGAGGAACAACTATACAATAAAGATTTATTTTTTTAAAAAAAGAATGCCATTAAAGGTAATGCCAAAGGTAAATATAAAAGACAGTGTAAAAAAAGAAAGAAAGAATAAATGTCCATAAATAGGGTCCTAGTTAAATAATAATAGAACATCCATAAAATGAAATACCATGTAGCTGTCACAAGAAACTACCATATGTAGCATCAAGGGACAACCTCCAATATTTATTATATTTAAGGGGGAAAAAGACAAGGTATAAGAGATATCTATGCTCCTGCTTTATGTGAATAAGGAAAAGTGGCACCCAGGTTTCCTCTGGGGATCAGAACCAGTGTGGAAGTGTAATTTTCACTCGTATTTATTTTATAAATTTTGTAGCATTATCCATTTCCTCCCAAAAATTAAACAAAAGTAGGTAAATATTAAATTACTGTGGCTGCTGGGTAGAGGACAGACTAGCAGGCAACAGAAATGCCTGTGTGAAGAGCTACAGCCACAGGCGCCTGCCAGACAGTGAGGTAAGATGTCCTCTTATCCCCAAGCCCAAGGGGGCACCAAGGGTGGCAGAAATCCACAGACACCACCTGGCCCCAGGAGGCCCCCTCCTACTACAATGTGCAGGTGGGTCGAGCCGCTTAAACCCCACACTCGTCAGCTCACAGGAGGGAGTGGCCGGTGTCTACCCCACACCCTGATGCATGTACCTGGCTCCAGGCCTAGCTCCAGGGTCTCCTCTGGCACCACCTGCACCAGCATGGCCAGAAGCAGGAAGAGGAAGGCAAAGGTAAGGCAGACGGAGCGCTCGCCCCCCTCCTCCGCGCTGAAGTACAGCCGAGTCACGGTCAGGAACATCTTCCTGGCGGCAGAGCTAAGGAGGCTTCCACCTGCGATGCCCCTGCCCATCCCACCACCTCCAGCCAGTGACACCCCAAATCCAGCGCACAAACACCAGGTTTGGGTTTGGGGTCCTGGGGAACAGGGGACTGACTGAGGAGAAGAGTGAGCTGATAAGCAAGCCCAGGGCACAAGGTGAGAAGGCTGTGCACGCCTGTGTCAGCAGCGTGGGGTCTTGCGCCTGGGCTGGGCCCCCGCGTGGCTCGTCACACTGTGTAGCCAGTCAGAAATGGCCACCACGTCAGTCTCTTCAGGAGGTCCCACCTCCCTTACCCATCTCTCCTCCTGGCTACATCACAGCACGTTCCTCTGCGGAGCTGGCAGACACAAGGGCCGTGTCTCCGATCTGCCTGGCAGAGACCCAGGGCTTTCAGAAGAGCGTGGGCTTCCAGATGGGCTCTCCTTCTCCCCAAGCCCACGGCACAAGGACATTCTCTCCTACGTGAGTCCCCAAAGTCACAGGTTCACTCTGTTCCCTGTGCAGCTTAACAGAACAATTGCAGAGGGGCCATCTCCCTCCCGGCCCTGTCTCTGGGCAGCCTGGTGACTTGCTTTGACTGAAAGGGTGGACAGGGATGGGGTGTGCAGGCTTGGGCGAGGCCTCAGGAGGCCTGCAGCACCCCATCTTCCTTGCTGCCTTTCTGCGCCTGCAACGTGGGAGCCTGGCCCAGCCTGCTAGAAGCGGGGAGCAGAGATGAGGCCCCCCAGCTGGGCCTGGCCCAGGAGAGCAAATAGGGACTGCTTTCCCCCACCGAGTTGGGGTGAGGTTTGTGTCACAGCCGTTCATAACCAACTACCAATACAGGGGAGACAGGAAGCCTCAGTCAGGCTCCCACATGCCTCCCGCCTGCCCCCCCAGAGCTGGAAGGATACATGGAGAAGGCCACGGTAAGCAGGCACCAAAACACAGCGATGTTGGTCTCCCTCGCCGGGCCCAGAACATAGTAGTAGGCCTCTGTGAAGAGGTACACGCCCCCCGAGTACACGGCAAAGTCCACGAACCACTGGTATTCCAGGAAGAAGCGCAGGACTGCGGGACACCCTATTCAGCCAGCTGCCTCCCCAGGCCTTCCCCCAACCCTGCCCACCCAGGGTCTCCCCCTACCCACCCACCCTGCCAGGGTGAGGACAAAGTGAGGGTGCTGGGGGCCCACTGGACTGTTACCGAGGGCATCCACGGCTGTGAGGGGGCAGGTCTCCAGCTGGAAAGGGGCATCTCGGGGGACACACAAAGTCTTCTCTTCACTATAGCCATTGGCCCACCTGGTGGGGAGGGGAGTCAGAGCAGCATCCTCCATTTCTCCCTTCCCAGCCCAGCCCGCCTCTCCCTGCCGCAGCCTGAGGGCCTCAGAGCACCACCCTCAGAGTGCCACCCTCAAGCACAGGAGCTGGCGGGAGGTGCCTTCTCCCCAGTTGGGGTACCCCCTACACACCAGGTTGCAGGCACCACCCACCCACAGGACTGGCCCACAGCAAACTGCCAAGCATTCAATGCCGACCGAAGGCAGCCTAGGTATGACAGTAACAAATCACTCATCCTGGGGTCTCCAGATTCCCCTCTGGGGTGCCTCGTTCTCCTCTGTGCCCAGAGCGGTGCCCGAGAGCCGGCAGGGCAGGCCCTGTGCCCCTGCAGCCTCCCCTGAAGTTGGAGGCTCACTCACCTCTCCCTCCTGCCTCTGGGCCTCTGCTTCCCTGCCAGGGCCCGCAGCTCCTCCTCCGACGGGTGCTTGTACCGGAAGAGACTGGGGGCAAAGACAGGCAGGTGGTCAGGAAAGCTCGGGCGTGGGGTAGGGCTCTGATGTCAAGGCAGTAAACCCCAAGACTCGGGACTAGAATCAGAGGGAGGGCTGGGCCCTAGACCCCTGGTGACAGGAGGAGCAGCGCCCATGGGAGGCCAAGGGAAGGCTCGGGAGGGGGGCGGGGCAGTGCAGCAGGGGTGCAGACACCCCTGGATCTGCGGGCTAACTCTCCTAGCGAAGGTGTGCACAGTGTCGTAAGGAGAGAATGCAATTTCCACAAATCTCAGAAAGGGGCCCAGACCCAAACAGGGACCAAAAACATTTCAAGAAACCTCTACAGCAGCGGTTCTCAGCCTGTGGGTCGCGACCCCTTTGGCGGTCAAACGACCCTTTCACAGGGGTCACCTAAGACCATCCTGCATATCAGATATTTACATTACGATTCATAACAGTAGCAACATTACAGTTATGAAGTAGCAACGAAAATAGTTTTATGGTTGGGTCACAACATGAGGAACTGTATTTAAAGGGCCAGAAGGTTGAGAACCACTGCTCTACAGTGAGCGAGGAGTGGGAGGGAGGTGATGGGGGAAGCAGCTGCTCTTCCAAGTGTGGACATGGTCCCGAGTGTGTGTGTGTGTGTGTGTGTGTACATCCATCAGAACTGATCCAACTGTGCCCTTTTGTGTGTGTGTGTGTGTGTGTGTGTGTACATCCGTCAGAACTGATCCAACTGTGCCCTTACAAAATATGCAGTTTACTGTACATCAACCACATCTCAATAAAGTTGTTTTTAAAAAAAACTACCTGCAGGGCCTGAGGCGGGCTGGGGCTCACCTGCCATTGCAGAGCAGCCAGCGAGCAAAGGAGCAGTGCGGCGCCAGCCTGTGCATGAGGGTGGCCGTGAGCAGGGTCACCACCAGCTGCACCCCGAGGATCGCCTGGGGGAAGGGACAGGACAGGCAGTGCCAGCCAGAGAGTAACTCGATTACTCCCGGAACCAGCTATTTATAGCGAGGCAGGGCCAGGTGGGGGAGGGGCCTCCCTGGCTCCAGATGTACCTTGGGGGAGGTGGACTGGGGTGAGCTCAGACCCAGCCCTGGGAGACCCTACTGACCAGGACCCGCACACCTGGCTGGGGGGAGAGCGGGATGGAGAACGGATGCTGGGGAAGAGACAGGTCAGGCAGGTGCGCTGCCAGGCTGTCCATGGGTATCAGGTATTCCTCTCCCAGCCTGGTGTCCCTCCCCGGGAAATGAAGTGCTTCCTATTTTGTTTCTTGTTCTCTCGGGACAGCCTTCTGGACCTACAATGATCCTGGTATGTCCAGTGAGAAGTGGCCCCTCTCCAACCACAGTCCCTGCCTTGGCACCACTGCCTCGGACCAACTTCCAGCTTCGGTGTTCACGGCGGCCCTGCCCTCATTTACCCTGACGGCTCAGTCACCTCTCCTCTCCACCTCCCTTTTCGGCAACCTCCTCCGCTGGTCACTGCCCGCTTCAGGATAACGACTCAGCCATGAGTGGGATAATTTTTTTTTCCATTAGGAATTTTCTCACCAAATTCTACATAACAACCGTTTACACAATAATTCATCACACATTTTCACACACTTGTTTGTAAACATTTTAGGAGAAATGTTTTTGGTAATCAGTCTGAAGCTGAAGCTGCCTGAATATAGTAATTTTGTAACTGTAAAATGTGCTCAGGAGAGTTGCCTACTAATACTATGGCATTATAATGAACAACTAAAATGAAATAAAGATTAATATTAATAATTAAAATTATCTTATCAGACAAAAAATAAGCTAACTTTATTTTTTAATATTTAAAAAAATATGTTTCGATTGACTTTAGGGAGAGGAAGGGAGGGGAGAGAGAGAGAGAGAAACATCCATCGGCCGCCTCCTACACATCCCCTACCTGGGATGAAGCCCACAACCCGGGCATGTGCCATGAGCAGGAATCGAACTGGTGACCTCTTAATACATGGAACAATGCTCAACCAACTGAGCCACACTGGCCAGGGCAAAAACTAATCTGGCTTCAAAAGGAAAAGCTCAGGGGGATAGAGATCAGGCCTAGCACGGTAATTCGGAACAACTGCCGAGAAACCCATCATTACAATAACCAACTCGTAGAATATGTTCTCTACGCCTGTCCCTTGTAAACTGGGCCCATGAGTATTTTTTCGGCAATGAGCGTGGAGTGCCATCTGTCTGATCTCTTAACCTCACTCATCTCCTAGTCTCATTGTTCCCCCTCCTCCTACCAAATACAAATTGGCCAGTAGGCACGAATGACCATGGCATTGTCAAGGTCTGTGGGCACCCCCAAGTCCAGAGGGCCAGGCTTTCCCACCCATCCTTCCTCCCAGCACCCCTCTCCTCTCCTCTGGGGACCCCCAGTGCCTCCCACCAATGCTCCCCAAACTCCTGGGCGCCTTTACCTGCTTTTCTCCTCCCTCTGCCGGCCTCTCTCCTATGTCCCCATCCTCTGCCAGGGGTTTAACCACTGACCTGGCCCAGCATGACCCCAACAAAGCAGTACCCCTAGCCTGGACCTCTCGGCCAAGCTCACAGACCTGTGCTTCCCCAGGTGGTTTCGGGAGCCCAGCACCCCCCCTCACTCCGAGGACACAGCACTGAGCTCCTCCAGGGGATCCCAGACCCTTCCCAGTCTCACAGTCAACACTCAGCTCTGCTCCTGATGGGCCCAGCTCAGGACCACCACGCCCCACTGCCTGGCTCTCTCCCCAGTCCTCCCTGTGTCCAGCCACTGGGGTCTCAGAGGCCCTCCAGACCCAGGGCCCTCCATCACTGACTCCATCACCCCCTTACACACACACCCTCCCAGTGAGGGGACCATGGTTCAAACTGTGGTCCCAGCACCTACGACAGGAAGGAAGAACCAGAGGGAGGGTGAGAAGGAGAGAAGGGCCCTAACCGGTTTGGCTCAGTGGATAGAGCGTCGGCCTGTGGACTGAAGGGTCCCAGGTTCGATTCCAGTCAAGGGCATGTACCTTGGTTGCGGGCACATGCCCAGGTGGGAGTGTGCAGGAGGCAGCTGATCGATGTTTCTAACTCCCTCTCCCTCTCCCTTCCTCTCTGTAAAGAATCAATAAAATATATTTTTTAAAAAGGAGAGAAGGAAGACTGCGTCCTCCATCTAAGGGCCCTCAACCTAAGGCGGAGAGGCCTGTCCAGGGATGTTTTTCATGCCCCGCACCCAGCAGCATCTGGTCTTAGGGGTCCCCGCTCTGCAGATCTCCGGAGATCTTCTAGAGCAGTGATTCCCAACATGGGCACACCCACAGGAGGGCAAATTTGATTTTTAAGGGGGCGCAACCGAGAATGAGTTATTATCAGTGATTTTTTTGCATTTCTATAGTTCTAGGGGCCTCATAGACAGTATATAAATATATATTGTGACATATTTATACATTTGCTCTATCCACTGACCCAAACCGGTTAGGGCCATATTCTTATTATTTTTTAAACAATTTCTTAGTGATTTCTTCCTCAGTACTTCAACTGTCCTTGTGTGTTTTTTTTATTTCCCTCTCTCATGGATGCCATGTTCTTTGGAAGCTTGTTTAGACCAAGTTAATGGCCTTTCAGGCTTCCTCCACGTGAATAGGAGTTCACTTTTGAATAATAAGAATTACATGTCACAGGGGGGCATCGGGATTTAGGGATGCTCAGGTGGGAGATGGCCAAAGAGGGTGGGAGCCACTGTCCAGAGCCTCCCATCCACCCACTCCGTCCGCTGCTGGGAGCCTTTCCCGGATCTTTCCTCCATCCCGGTTCTGAGCGCCCTTCCCACCCCTCGTGGCCCACGGCATCCGCACCGCCTAGAGCGCAGCCCGAGCACCGCCTCCACCAGCTCTCACTTCAGGCTCATCTCCGCGCCCCGCCCCCTCGGGACAGTCCTCCTCCTGGCCCCCGCCAGGGTCAGGTCGCCTAATGGGCCCCTCCAGACTGCCCCTCCTTCTGCCCAATCCGAACCCATGGGGGCTGGGGGCCCGGGGCGGACTAAAGTTGAGAACAAACTCAAATTTTGGAGCCGGAGCTCCGAGAGCCTGTGGGTCCCGCTGTGCGGACTCCAACCTGGGACCCGCCCGCCGGGAGGCCACCTAGATCCCCTCGGCGCGGCCCCTCTGTTCAGGGCTCCCGGCGCTTCTGCGCATGCCTGTGCCCGCGGGCACCCACCAGCGCGGCCCCTACGCTCCTCCGGGAGCCCAACCCGGAGTAGGCCCCAGCGGGACCCCAGGCCTTCCTCGCGGGGCCCTGAACGTGCTCGGCCCCCAGTCCCCTCGGCGGGATCCCAGACCCCTAGAGGGCACCACCCCCAGAAGACTCGGGGCTTCCCGTCCCCATGGGTCCCGCAGCGAGATGCTGACCCACGAGAGGACACACGGCGCTCTGCGCGACCCGGAGACTCTACAGCCCCCAACCCCGACGAAAGGACCTCCGTCCCTTCCGTGTCTCCAGGGACTCCCACGCAGGACCCTGCGTCCCCGAGGGACCCCACATGCCTCAGGACTCCCGCTTACCATGTCTCGGGCGGGAGCGCGGTAAGCGGACCCCCAGCCCCTGCTCAGGCACTTATGAGAACTCGACCAATCAAAGTCAGACTGTGGCCTGACAAGCAGCCCATGCGACCAATCATCGGGCTTGTACGCGGAGCACAAACCGAGAGACCCGGGGTCGCTGGCGTTGCATGCCGGAAGTTGTAGTTCAAAGACGTCCGATGCGCTCGCCACAGTTGAATCAGGACTGTATCAGGGACACACCTGTGCGACCGCCTGCTCTTAGACTCAGTCTCCTCACCTGCACCTGCCTCGCAGATCTGCGGCCAATACACCTGTTCACGCAACCACTCACTGTCTCCGGTGGGACAGTTCTCAGCATGAAACTCCTGATCCAGAACATTAACTGGCCTGGCTGGCGGGGCTCAGCGGCTGAGTGTCGACCTATGAACCAGGAGGTCACGGTTCTATCTCGGTCGGGGCTGTGAGCTTGACATGCCCAGGTGGGAGGCGTGGTCCCTAGTGTGGGCGCGTGCGTGCGGGCTGCAGCCGGCTGATCCTCTCTCATCAATGACGTTTCTATCTCTCTCTTCCTCTCCCTCCCTCTCTGATATCAATAAAAATGTTTTTTAAAAAATAACATTAAATGGCTCCGACTGACTAGACGCCCAAGGGCTCATACTAAATTCAGACCCCTCTGCCTCACTTCAATCTGCCGCCAGTACTGCTGTGCGCACTATAGTACAGCTTGCTACCAGCCACTCCATCTCATACCTTCAGCATTTGTAAATGCTGTCTTCCATCTCGGAATGCCTCCTTTCTGTGGCGTCATTCCTCTCTATCAGCCAGGACACACACACACACACACACACACACACACACACACACACCACACACACACACACACACACACACACTCCAACTCAAATGGGCTCCAGCAAAAAAGGGACATTTTTAGTTCCTGTAACAAAAAATTCAAAAGTAGGATCAGCTTCAGCCATGGCTGGATCAAGAACCAAATGTCAGCCTCAAATCTGATGTTTTATCCCCCCCCCCCCCCCAATACAAGTGACAGTTTATTTAGAAAGTCACAGAGGTAGAAAAGTGCCCAGCCTGACTGCATGGGCTCAGGAAACAAGTCACAGAGGCAAAAGTAGAACGCTTGGAGCTTAGGAGAGCGAGGGCAAAGGTGTTCACCTTGCAAGAAGGGAAAAGGTGTCGGCAGCCCGAGAGGGAGGGAGAGAGAGAGAGAGAGAGAGAGAGAGAGGAGAGAGAATGAGAATGCAGAAACCGTATGTTTTCTGTTTTCAGGCTTGGAAGTAAGAGCTTCTAGCAGAGTTACCTAAGTTTTGCCATCTGTTTCTCTGGATGTGTCTGTGTGAGTGTGTACATGCAGGTGGGTATGACAATGTCTTTATGGGGCTGGATACCTGTTAGTAAGGCTGATATGGTTGATTGTCTCATCTCTCTGGGTGATTTTGTCTGTATGGATGTCTGTTTGCAGGGGATTCTCTGATTGTGACTTTGGTCCCCTGGACTCAGTGTCCCTTTGAAAGAGGACGGATGACAGTGGCAGTGAGGGTCACTGGGATTCCCCAGGACCTACATGGGGATCATGACATGCCCCTCAGAGCCAGGGCATACAGGTGGGACCCAGGGAAGATGGAATTTTGGAAAGGTGTCAGAGAAGAGGGAACGAGAAAGAAAAGTGGGGCGTCGGGGGCGTTTGCTGAGGCCCACTGTAACCATGCTGGGAGTGCCTCATGTGCTGCCTCCAGCAGGCCAGGGAGGTGGGACAATTGGCTCCATTTAATTGATGAAAATACTGAGGCCCTGAGAGACCCAGATCTCCGCTTCTACCTGACCTCTCTCTCTTGGGCACCGCGCTCCTGAGTTCGGGTGTCACAGTGCCCCCACATGGTGAATCACAGGCAACTCACACACATCCTCTCCTGGAGCTTATCCACAAACCCTGGAGTTGGCCTTGACTCCGCTCTCACCTCACACCTAATCTGTCAGCTCCTCCTGATGGCTCCACCTTCCAAATGTAACCACAGTTCCACCCGGCCTCACTCCCTTCACTGTCTCCACCCATCCAGTCTCCTTCATCTCTTGCCTGAAGTCCCCTCCTCCCAGGTTTCTGGCTTCCATTTCCCATCCCCTCCCCCAGCCTATTTTCTCCTGAGGAGCTTGAGGGCACCTGTGAACAGTTGAGCCAGACCATGTCCCTCCTTTGCTTACAACCATCTATGGCTCCCAACTCATGCAGAGCAAAACCAGTCTTCTCTCCTACATTGGACGGTCTCCATTCTTCAAAGTTTGCTCAACATCTCCGTTCTCCACTGGACACTCCTTGGTCTCTGTCCTCTCCATTGGGTAGTCTACTTCCCCTGATCCTCACTGGATGCTCCCTATGCCGTTCACACTAATGTCCCACCGTCTCTGACCACACTGAGGCCCACACTCTCATTCCAAACTGACCATTTCACCACGGTGCTCTAAAACATTCATCTCTGAGATATCCCACTTCTATCACAGTGTTTGTGCCCAGGACACAATTCCCATGGTGCTTCCAACCAGTGATGGAGCTCCTGGGGGAACTTGGGGCCCTTTGACTGTAAGATTGGCCCTGGCTGATGTCGTCAGGGTGTCCTTAGCAAGGCTAGCGGTAGGACACTTCCATGCAACCTTCCCTGCTTCCTTCCCAGCAGAGCCACAGAGGCATATCTGGGGCCTGGACCCAGAGGTGTTTCTAGAACCCAGTAGCCTGCCCACTGTCCCTTCATGGGTTAGGACACCACAGGCTGTATATGTGTAATCACACACACACACACACACACACACACACATGACATAGCCTGGGTCCCCAGGCTGGGAGCCTAAAAACATCGGTGGAGCCCCTGGAAGCCAAGATGGATTTTACTTAGTCATTCCTACTAGTATATCTATTCTAAAATGTTGAGTGGGGAGCAGAGAATCCAAAGCACATTAGTGGGCGCCACCTAATGGCAGATGGCAAAAGTGCAGCCTCCCAGTGATGGGGGACACAGAACCACATACACAGGCCCTAAGGTTCCCCCAGCCTTTGAAAGCAGCCACACTGAGAGCTTAGATTGTGGGTACAGACTTCAGAGACTGTCCTGGCTTCTTGTCCACTGCAAGGGTGAGAGCCAGAGGTTGAGAAGAGACCCTCTCTGGCTGTGCCTCAGTTTCCCTCAGGGGTCCTGAGTCTGGTTGTGTGGGGAGCTGTGACTGCGAAGTTCATACACCCTTATGCAGATGGCCAGGGTTCTTATGACCTGAAGGAGGGGATCCCCAGAAGGGTAACCCAGGTGGAGAATTTGCACCCTCAAGGTGACCACCATGCCCGTGCTGCTGGGGGTGGTGAAGGTTGTATGCACAGCCCAGATCCCTGAGTTCATTGTCTAGGGCTGGAGTGGGGGCAGAGGCTCACTCCTCCTCTGAGGGTGGGCAAGGGCACAAGGGAGCAGGTAGAGAGGATTTAGGACCCGAGTCTGAGTTGGTAAGAGACTCCCCAGTCTACCTTGGGCACCCTACAGAGGCCCTGAGTTCACCCCACACCACCTGCATTCTCTGCAAGCCTCCCAGCATAGGTGTGGGGTCCCCTACTGCCCCCATCCAGGTTAGAGGCTGTGAATTGCCCATGACCCCCTCTTCCCTTTTCTCCACATCAGAGCCGCCCAGGGTTTCTGGTGGCTTTGCCCCCAAATACACTTCCCTCCCAGCCCTTCAGCCTCCTGCTGCCCTTGCCCCTGGCCCTCCAGTGCACCCCTTGCCACAGAAGCCCTGAGGAGGGGAGCTTCAATAATGCCATGTCCCTCTCCTGGAAACTGGGTCCCCAAAGCCCCTACTTTACTAGAGATGATGCATCAAGGACTGCGAAGATGCATGGAGGACAAACCCTAACTGGGTCTGGCATGTGGGTAGCATGGTGCTCTGGGCAGGGCCACTCAGCCTGCCCCCACCTCACATAAACGTCTGTCAGATTCTGCCCTCTCCCCACCCCTGGAGGAGTCAGCCCTACATCTTGGCGGCTACAGAAGAGGAGGTGCTGAATTCCAGGGACGGGACTGACTTTGAAGCCTGCGATGTGCATGCTTCCTCTCTTTGTCCACCATCTGTGACTGTGTGCGCTCGTGGCGGGTACAAGGCATTGGATTTTACTAAAAAGGCTCCTCTGTGGGGCGCTGGGCTGAAAAGAGGGGACAAGAGGCTTCAACAGCCAGCCGGAACCAATCAGCTTTGGATCTTTGTGGAATGGGAGAGGGGGAACAAACCTTTTAAGTGCTGAGACCAATACTTCGTGTTCTCCACATCCCTGTTCAAATCGGTGATCTGCACTCAACAAACGCTCTGCTTAACTTACAGTCGGAGCCATTTCTCGGCTTGGGCAGTGCAGACACGGAGTTGGGCCTTGGAAGGTAGGAAGCAATCTTTTACAAAAAGGTGATTGGAGGGGTGAGGGAGGTGGTTCAGAAAGGAGGACCAGCATGGTCCTGGGGTTGGACATGCAAGTGTTTCTAGATGCCTCAGGGCAGGGGATAGCGTGGAGGACACAGGCAGAACGGGTGGGCGCACCTGAGGAGCTATGAAGGTCAAGGGTCTGATCTGACGGTCATAAAGATTCATCTGAGGCCCTAGTGGGGTAGCTCAGTTGGTTAGAGCATCCTCCTAATATGCCAAGGTTGTGGGTTCATCCCCAGTTAGGGCACATGCAAGAATCAGCCAATGAATGCATAAACCAGTGGAATGACAAATCAGTGTTTCCCTCTCTCCCTTCCTCTCTCTAAAAATCCTATCTAATAAAAGAGAAACATGGTAATTGGTGTACGACCGCTACCCTTCCCATTGGCTAATCAGCGAGATATGCAAATTAACTGCCAGCCAAGATGGCGGCCGGCAGCCATCTTAAAGCGAACATGAATGAGGCTTGCTTGCTTAGGTGAGGGCAGACTCCAATGTTCCCCACCTGCCTTGCTGGCCTCTGAGCTGGCAGTTTGAAACATTGTAACAAATATAGAAGCTAAACAAAACCCCAGAAACCTGCTTTCAGCGAGCCGGGATCTCAGAGCTGGAGTTGATACAGAGTTTCGATTATAGAACACAAACAAACCAGATTCCTGCTTTCAGCAGCAGAGGCCTCAGAGCTGGAGCCAGAGCTAAAGCTGGCCCATAATAAAAAAAGAAAAGAAAAAAGGAGCGGTTGGAAGCTTCAGCCACCCGCAAGCCTGAAAACAGCCCTCAGCCCCTCACCCAGACTGGCCAGTCCCCCCAGTGGGGACCCCCACCCTGAAGGGTGTATGACCAGCTGCAAACAGCCATCATCCCCTCACCCACGCTGGCCAGGCAACCCAGTGGGGACCCCCACCCTGATCCAGGACACCCTTCAGGGCAAACCAGCCGGCCCCTACCCATGCACCAGGCCTCTATGCTATATAGTAAAAGGGTAATATGCCTCCCAGCACCGGGATCAGCAGAGCAGCGAGGCCTCCCGGCACCGGGATCAGCGTGACGGGGGCAGCGCCCAAACCCCCTGATCGGCCCTGCTCTGTGTGTGACAGGGGGTGGGGCCCCAACTCCCCTATTGGCCCTACTCTGTGCGTGACAGGGGGGAGCTCCCCAACTCCCTGATGGGCCGGGCTCTGTGCGTGACAGGGTACGGAGCCCCAACCCCCCTGATTGGCCCTGCTCTGTGAGTGACAGGGGGGGGCGCCGCAACCTCCCCATCGACCCTGCCTTGAGTGTGACAGGGGGTGGTGCTCCAACCCCCAAATCGGCCCTACCCTGAGCATGACTGAGAGTGGCATCGCAACCCCCGAATCCGCCCTTCTCTGTGCATGACAGGGGGCAGTGCCCCAAGTCCCCAATCGGCCCTGCTCTGAGCCCGACCGGGGGATGCAC